TATGGAGCAGAAAAGGTGCTTATACTATCTCAAGCCACTTCTTTTGTAGAGGTGCAATGTCCTCTAGGGACAGCCACATCAACTCTATTTGTTTCGGAGCTAGAAGCTTAAAAAAAAATTCTGTCCCACTTTTTCTCCTAGCTACATTCTTCTTAAGTCCCTTTTAATTACAGCTTCATGTAATTTAATTACACTGAGATTCTGGTTGATGTTGGATTTTGCAATCAGCATCATGAGACATTGAGTACTGTTGCTCATTTCGGCTTTCCCTACACACACACACAAAAAAAACCCCAAAAACTAAGAAAGGCAACAGTCATGGAAGATCTGTACTGTCATAACAGGGAATTGGCACAGAACTGTTCCTAAAACACCTCCATATTCTTAGAATTCAGAAGTTTGTCACTACTCACACCAGAAGTGGCCACCACAGACATCTCACTTCACGGTATGGAGCACAGCTCCTAGGATGGTCTCTATCAGGAATGTTTAATTTCAGCTGTTGTTCATCTTCCCCTAAAATAAACCAAGGAGTGGCTAGCCTTGCTGTCAGCCTGGGTCCTGCAGTTCTCCTTAACTGTTAGACAACAGGAAAGAGTAGAGTTATGCAGGACAGCTGTTCCAACATCTTTTGCAATTGAAATGCAATTCAGTCTTGACTATTATTCTACAGATCACATCTCCTCCTTTTTATAGATTTCCACACTCATTTCATTGAATTAGAGTTTAGGTTGTGATTCTTGCTTTTCCTACATAAGAACTTCCCTTAACCTCTCTGCTCTCCAAAAAAAATTATCTACTTCCTTTCAAGAAGGAAAACTAGCAATTTAGAATTAGCTCCATCCCTAAGTACCTAAATAAATATTCAAAGAATTCAGAATTCAATTTCCAGGTTCACTAAATGGCCTCACAAACATACTGATATAAATAAGTAATAGATAATATATCTCCACCGGTAGCATTTACTTTCAGCCTTGCAGTTATGGTTTCAGTGAAATTGCTCACGTGCTCATCTTTAACTATATTGGTCTTGTCATAGTAGAGCTCTCTCCAAAAACAAAACCCCAGCATTGATGCTAGCAGTCAGGAAAGCCACTCAGGGAATGATCGATTGATGTATTAGTTGCCATTTCAATGTCACTGACTTCCCAGGGAATTGAGGGCAACGAGAGTGCTGGTTAATCAAGTCTCACATTTATCAGATTATCAGCAAAATATATTTCCTACAGATGCATGGCAGAAACATCAGCATGACACAGCAATCTGTTTTGTTAATAACTGATATTACTATGTAATTTATTGCTGACATCTACAGCCAGGCAAGGTACTCAAGTTCTTGCTCCTCAATGGCAGAGAGCAAAAATGCATAAATCATATAAAATAGAAAATCCCGAGAAGGTTTTTAAAGCATGCTCCTCTTTTAGCACCACAACTTCAGCAATGACTTCAAGCCTGACACGATGGCAATGCAGTGGGTCTGGGCCTCATTAAGTTTTAATCAACCTTTATCCACCATAGCTTTTGAAACGAACTGTTACTAATGACTAGTCATATGTCAGTCTAATGAATGGGATGCAGATTTCCAATAAAATAATGAAATTAACTTGTTTAGACTTTTGTTCCAGTTCCATGGCACACAGCCCCAGGTAATTACAGCTAGCACTACTCATCCGTTTTAAGTCTGTTTATTTACTTAAGGTCTGTAATCAGGACATCCCAATTTAGCTCATGTCAGCTGTTTTTTATGAGTCTAGAAACACTTGTCTTACTAACAAAGAGATAAATACGTGCAAGCCGTGCAAAGTGCTAAGGCATCAATTATGTGTACACAGACATGCAAGAATGGAAACAACGTGAAAAAACATTAAGGCACAATCTCTGGTCATAAAACTGTATCTCAGTGTTTTCCTGGGACAGCAGCAATTACTTTTGGGAAACTGAATAAGGTTTCAAAGGCATCTTTGCTAGGTACAATTTGGTCCTTCTCTCATTTAAAATCCCAAGGGCAGACTACAATAAACTGAGCTAAATTTTCAAATATTACTGCATTCGAGACTGTCACAGTTGTGACATAGCACGATGGCCTGAGCTGCAAACATGCGGCAGTTTGGCACCTTATTGTGCACCCTATGAACGCAGGGAGCTTCAGTCTGATTTGAAATGAGAAATTATTAATGTTTTATTACAAATTCATTTTGTAACAAGAATTACGTGAATAGATCATACCAAAGACTTTCCAAGAGTTCCTTCTGAAGTTACTCCAGTAAGCATCCCCTAATTACATCCTGTAGTCACAGATCGCTCTACAAGTGTTGTAGAAGAAGACATGTACAAGTGATGGTATGGTGTGGCAGCCTGGTCAAGCAGGGATATTGATTTGTCATAAAGTAAAATAGATGCACGTAGCAAGTAGCCTGAAGTATTTCTTGTTCTCCTGTGGCTCCCTTCCTGTTTAGAATATACGAGAGACTTAATGACACTTAATGACGCAGACTAACGTAAGTTACTATTGATAAAGTATTTCATTTTCCTCCTTAGTTTTCAGACTAAGTAAGAATTGAGAGAAGACCTCTGAAAAGATGATACCAGCTTTGTTTTCTATCGTTAGTTTCCCTTTGAAAGACAAAAAGCACGACATTCACCAGACTCTCTTTGTGGGAGAGCCCAGCACAAAACCACAGCATGCTCATGTTACTGCTGCATGCCTCCCAACACAAGCCAGAGGACACTGCTCACAGCTAAGTTGATTTAGTTTAATCTGCAATCTTTCTCCTTCTATATTACATTATGCCCTGATCCATCTTTCAGATTAACTTTGGCAATTAACTGAGGTGGCTAATTCAGAAGCCTAATTGTTCTCTGTTCCTTGTGTAATCAATACAGACAAACCACTGGATTAGCACGCAAGGAAGTTTAAGTATAAATGTTAGAAGTTTTATGGTTTAACTCAACCCTGATTGCTCAACAGACCCTACTGGAACCAAGTCCAGATGGCTTCCCCATGTTCACACAAGGAAAGCACAGCACAGAAAAGCAGGGATCAGCCACCCCAGGGCCTCAGCAGCACGCACACAACTCTTTCTTCCCTTTCACCATGCCTGATGCAGCGCAGCAGGAGGGCAGACCTCACCAGGTCCCCGCAGACCGAGGTCTGCCATGACTGATTGCTATATGAGGCCTGGAAACAGTCAAATCTGCAGCAGCCAGCCAGTTCCCAAGCTCCAGTAGCTAGAGCTTAGCTTGAACTCTGAAGTACAAATTTGTCTTTTCCAAAACTTTGGTAGATTACATACTCCTGCTGCCTATGCAGATTTCTCATTCCCCTCTGAATGTTACAATTTTTTTTGGACTTCAGATAGTCCTCTTCATGGCAACAAGTCCTGCGATATGGGTGAGAGCTGATTCTTTCATCACATTAGAATTTCATGAACACCTGGAGAACGGGATTCAGTAATGTTAAAAAGTAAAAGGAGAATGGATAAAAAAAAATATTTTTTTTTAAGTGCATCATTTTCCTTATTAATCACTATAAAGAAATTAGCCCTTTAAATATTCTATTAACATAACTGTTTCACCATTCCCAAACTTTCCCAACTTCAATGCCAAATTCTGCAAGAGGACAACAACTGCAGCTTGCAGGATCCTGTGCCAGGCAGGGCTGACCCTGCACCAGCCTCTGTGCTGTGCTTTTGCCTGACTTCTCATGCACAGCAAGCTGCATTTGCCTGACTGATCACTGTTGCCTATTGAGTGGCCCACAGTGATATCTCAGTCTCTCTTCTGGACTGGTACATGTTATTTAGATCTCAATATGATATGTTGAGCAATTTTAACTCTTTTCATCAGATATGTACTTGCAGCAGCTGCATTCAGCTTTATCATTTACCACTATGTTACAAGTCCCCTTGGTGAAATCCTTAATTCAAATTAGGTCCCAATTAAAAAATTAAAAAATGACATTTACAGAAGTGGCAGTATTTTCAAAGTGGCATAAAACTTGTAAACAACAATGACAGCAAAAATAAACAACTAAAACATGGGATTTAGGGAATGCATTTGCAATTTAAAGAGATCTGTAGAATATGCTGGCAGTTGGAGTTATAAAAACTGAGATGAAATAGAAAGAATATTTACTTTCTTCTGGCAACGTATAAATTGCCTGCATTTAGAATTACTGCCATAAATTTTCAGCACTGACAAACATGCCTGTACTGCTAACAGCATTCAGTGATTACTGGGATGAATAAGACTCATTTCTAACATAGCATAGCATAAAGACATAAGGAAAATGAATTTTTAAATGTCCTTAAGCTGGATCCCACAGCTATATGCCCAAAAAAAGAAAATCCATTGCTTTCCTTGGAAGTTCTTCGGTAACATTCATTTTAGACTCGGTCAGATCCAAAGACAACTGAACTTGGCAGGATGACAGAAGGGCCTCACACCAGGCTCTTGCTGGCTCCAGGCACTCTTGGAGCGTAATGACACTGCTCAGAGCTCCAGGGCTATCCGCAAGAACAGCTGGCTGAAACATAGGGGCTCCCGGTCATGCTTATGCCATAACCCTGATGATACAGCCTCCACATGGGGGGTCAACATTTACACGCATTTGCAAGTTGTAGCTCTCCAGCCACAGCCTGCACAGGTAACTTGTAGAGGAAACCACAGCAAGACCATGAAAAATCAATGTAGTCCTTCAGCAGACAAAAAAAAAGTCATAACGTGATTGAATATTTACAAAAACAGGGCCTGTCTAAAAGTCAGGAGGACCTTTTCCCAGGTCAGGGCCTGGCAAATAGACATTTTGGCTTCTAAGAGCACGCACTGCAGAGTGTCTGTCTGTCCCCTGCCTCCTGCCTGCCCTCAGACATACCTGCACAGCACTCAGCCCATTCAGCTCCTCATTCCTATGTGACAGTGCTCATTCTCCATGAACCATTTATTCACGCAGATTTAAACTCACGCTGAACCAACAGATGTCCTGAGCAACAGATACTCACTGCAGCCACAGCAACCTGAGGCACCAGACCTCTTCATGATTTGCTCAGTCATCTTCTCCCTGAAGATAAAAGCATGCAACAACTCAGACAACAGAAACAAAAGGGTGCTCCAGACTTGTCCAGACTAACACAAAAATATACTTAAGCTTTTCATCTTAAAGTAAAATAGATGCATGTAGCAAATAACCCTGTAGTATTTCTTGTTCTCCTGTTGCTCATGCTGGTGGATCCATGCAGTGTCACTCTGGCCATACACATAACACCTCAGTATTACACCTCTGCGAGCCCCCTGTAGCTATCCTGGATTTCTCCTTTGTGCTGCAACCACAGGGATGGAAATATGGAAACACATTTAACCTCTTTCTCTCATCTTATACGTGTTTTTCAAACTGATTTTACTGGGTTGTTATACCAGATGAAAACCACATGCAAACACAAAGCAGTATGCAACTGTGCAGCCACACATTGTGATGCTTCCTGGCCACAGCTGCCTCTCAGGTAGCTCACTGCTCTGCTGCCCTTTGTTTTTTTTTTACTATCCTTTTAAAGACGAAAATCATATCAAGAGCAGCCTTCTATAATAACACCAGTAGGATTTTACGGAAATGAAGTGACCTTTCATAAGTATCATCTGAGCTCCTTTTGGCTTTTAATTCAAGCAGCGTGCTGAGCATAGCACACAGGTGTAACAGTAGACTGTATCAAAATTCTGAGAGAATTATGTCAAAAGCTGCTTTTTTTTTAATTGTTATTAAAGCAGAAGTCAATAAGACATTTGCTGACATCTCTACACCACACTGAAGTGCCCCACATCAGTTGTAGGAGCTCCACTGAAGCAGCAAGGTAAGTGTATGTGCGTGCCCACAGCATGGTACCCTGCCATCTCCAAGCTGCCCCAGCTGTCCCATGGCTGCAGCAGGCTCACTGCAGGGACACGGGGCAGCCAAGCACCTCAGCACAACAAGCAGCTGGAAGCCACCAGCTGGCAGGGCTGGGCAGCCTTCTGGGGGCTTCTGCCTCACCTCTCCTGATAGCACTAACTCCTCCAATACAAAATGTAACATTTGCTTAACAGGTTGCAGATGTCAGCTGCACATTTGCTGACTCTTCCAGAAGTTCCTGGGAATGCAGACAGCATTCTTTTTATTGCTGCAACAAATAACAATGAATTTTCATTGTTCCAAGAGTCTGACTGCAACTGCTGTGGGCATGCAGGCAGGTGTGCGATCCACAGGCAGCCGTCTTTCAACTCTCACAGCTTTCCTCAGCTGCTGTCATCCCTGGCAGTAATTTCCAAAAGGTATTAGAATATTCATAGCCACTTCCAAACAGATTAGGCATAGGCAGTAAATCATATGAGATTAACTTGGCAAAACATTTTTATCTTTTCATGTGCAGCTGTTTAAATTTTTGTAGCAAAGGAAGTTGTTTCATTCTGCTCTTAATATTTGGATTTACCTTTGCAGCAGAGATGTGGAAGGCGTGAAGAGAGATCAAGATCTCAGTTTTACCTAGTGAGCAAAGAGATTTTTTCCAATGGGCTACAGGGCCAGATGCCTGCAGAACAGGCATCCTCCCTGAGAAACCACAGGAAACTTCCCAGCAACTCCAGACTGAGATAAGATCAATCATTACAAGGTTGACGATAAAAAGCAGGAGCAAGAAACACAGCAAAGTGCTCCCCATTGCCTTTATTTTATTGAACAAACCACGTAAAGGCAAAAAGAGAAGCAGGAATGCTCCACCTGCCATATCAGTGCCAAACAGCATCACCTGAGCTCATTGCAAATCTGCATTCTTCAGACATTTGGACTGAAAGAAGTTAATTCAACTCAAATTCTGTAAGTCAAAATATTCACATACTTCAGCATCTGGGAGATCAGAAATTGGGATACTTTCACACTTCAACATTTCAAGCAACTTTCACATCTCATATGAGTAGAATATTTCCCAATTCAAACACCAAAAAACCTTAAACAGAAAAAAAAATACTTTGAACAAGAAGTGTTTGTTCTTTTTAAGCTTGGATTAAATCCTCTCAGGATATGTGGTGCTCTGCTGCTGCCCCGGCTGGTAGTGGTAGGTTTTGTGTTTCATTATAAATCAATAAATACAATATTAGGAATCAAGAGCAATGCAAAGAATTTTTGCTCATGAATTAACCCAAGCTTTCCATTGCATCCAACATACAATGTGCTTGAATTTCTAACAGCACGTATCTCACAGCATAGATTAACAGAACAGGATAACCAGACCCTGCTGCAGCTGCTCTGCTGATGAACTTTGATCCCACTGCCTGTTGCTCCATTTACACGCTGGCTCCACGTTGCAGTGCTGACAACATGTGCTTGCTGTCAAGCTTCTCAAATGTAAAATTCTCACACAAGCCAAAGTCAATCTGCATGAGAGTTTACAAGGGTAATCTCTGCCCTTCTCACGTTTAATAATGCAAAAAGAATAATGAAGAGACTGGCAACAGAGGACCAAACAAAATACACAGGCAATGAATTAATTCCTTTGGAAGAAGGAACCAAACATACTTTCAGTGGCACAGTGCCGCACAGTGCTTCCAATTCAGCCATCACAATTCTCCTCTAACTTTGTGGTAGAACAGTGCATTAAGTGGCCTCATGTCTGAAGGCTCCCATTTGTTCCATAACCTGTTTGAAGACAGTCCCAGACACATTCTATTTCTTCAAAGCAGGTTTAAGCATGACAACTCCATGCTCCTGAAGCACTACTTGGCTTCATGATAACACAGGAAAAGAGTTAAAGCCCACCACACTTCAGCAGAACACTTTCTACTGACTTGACATCCACTTTGGCTCATCCCCCAGAGATGAACAGTACCAAACTACCAAGAGTTCACTAAAATAAAAGTTTCTGATCCTCCCATCTTCCTCCAAGTTTTCTTCCTTCTATTCAGAGCTGTTTTGTCATTTCTGAGACTGAAATGTGAGCAAACTCCTTCTCCTTGACAGTCAAACCATATACAGCCATTATTTAAATACTAAAACAAAGATGAACTCAGACAAATGACAAAACTAAAATATCACATTCCAAGAACAAAAAGCTGCCCAAATAATGGCAACATACTGGCTTTTTCCTCTACGGAACAGGCAAACTCATCCTTTGCTAAGGTACCCTTAGGGCAGACAAACAAACCCTCTAGAGCTCCTAGGCTTACTTCATACTGATATTTCAAATGCAATTACCCAAGTTCATAAGTAAAAACTAGATGCGTACCAGTGAAGAGAACATCTCTTGAAGTCACCCTGATTTAGAGCAGGAGCTAAAGTTTCTGAACATGAATAAACTTGGGACCAAGCCAACATAAAGCAGAGAGGAAAAGCTCCCTGCCTTGTTAAGCCTCTGTGTAAATCTGTACAAGCACATTAATGCTGTCCTTGTCTCCTGCTGCAGTACACCCTGCATCAGCCCAAGGACAAGCCTGTAACTCCTATGCCAAAACCTGACCTTTGCAGGGGCAGTTGCCCCATACCTGTGCAGATGTTGGAAGCTCTGTCTGCAGGCAAACTGCTGCACCACTCAGCAAGAGCTTGTAGCTGAGTTGTGCATTCTATCTGTGTTAGCTTGGCTATTGAATTTATTTAAGGAATAGTGATGCTGCTTCTACTTCGTTTCCATGACAACAATCCTAAGAATTTTGTCTTCATATAAATGAGTTATTGCTTTTTGTGTTTCTACAGTCAAGGCAGAAAAATTAACATAATATGGTTTCAAGAAAGACAATCAAATCTTCCAATCCTCCCAACACTCCTACAGGTAGCAAATTCTTAGATTTCATTATCAGAGATATAAACAGGGTGAAAAGCAATCCGCATTCCAGCAAGTATTAACACTGGAGAGATTTAATTTCAGAACAACTTATATTAGAAAAGATTCCTTTGATGTCCACATTCCTGCATACATTCACAAAGAACAGCCTCGCTGAACATCGCACATCTCTCAGCTTCAGTCCCCAGAAAGCAGCTTTGAGATATTTATCCATCAATTACGGTCACTATTCTCCTTCATACTTAATTTCACCTCTTATTTATTGGTAATATATTCAAGTTATTTTCCCTGACCATAACAACAAAATCTCCTCAAAATGGACATTTCAAAGTAGACAGGAAAGAACGAAGAGAGAGAGGAAGAACTTAGGATGAACATTGTTAGCTAAGTCTTAGAATGAGTTAGGCTAAAAAAAAAAAAAAAAGAATTAGCTCCTTTCTCCTTTATTGCTCATAGCATTGCACGGAGATTATATGTACAACAGATTGAACAAACACTACAGCAGATTCACAACACGACACAACAGAGACATTTTTAGTTTGTGATGCCGTGAGACAGATCTCATTGTGTGGTTACAATTCCGCTGACTTTGCTGAAAAAATGAAAATCTGGACTCACCACCAGCCATTTTCATGGCTTTGACCAGCGTGCATTTGACTTATAAGGCACAGCTGCCAGCAGTGATGGATTCTGGGTTCTGTACAGCAGCTCAAGATAGATGGGTGCATAAGCATGGCATTTATGCTGTTATCAAGCATGCAAGCAAGCACACTAAATCAGCCACAGAGCAATGAATGTTTTAGGGTCAGTTGAGCAGGAGAATGCAATTCTGTAAACAGTAGGGGCAGAAAGATTTTTCTTCAATAAGAAGAAAAAAGGAAGGGTTGAATATAGAGAAAAATGAAGAGGCACATGTTGTGCAAAGCATGATCAAAATCCTGATGGTTCCCACTGAATAGCAGACTGGTGAGCATCACTAAGTCACTTGTTTTGACCTGATATATGTAAAAAAAAATCCTTAATAAATTAGCCGTTATAATTAGATATTGGTTTCTTTTGGTGCACTGTAATCATAAAGACAAAGAAATGTGTCCCTGACACAGTCTGAAAGACCAATTTGCCATTACAAGCTTCTAATGGTGCCAGCTACAACGTTATTTGTTTAAAAACAGTTTTAGTTCAGGAGACAAGGAAGGTCTTGAGCTAATTTCTGTTTCAAATTTGCCAATCTCCCTAATTAGACACAAAAATGTGAGCACAT